TTTAGGAAGGTTGGTTACAGGCCAGGGTGATCAATAAATTCACTCTGGGGTTGATCTCCTGAGGCTCACTTCCCATCTGACTGCAAAAAAAAAATTTCCGATTAAGGTTTCTATGCTCTTATTTTTTAGGAAAAGATGGGGGGAGAGCCGGAGGAGGACATGTTGGAGAAATAATGCAGTGGGAAGGGTTCTTGCCTTGTACTTGCACATGGTGCCAACCCAGGTTTGATCCTGGCATCTCATATGCTCCCCCGAGCACCACCAGGAGTAATTCCTGAGTGCAGAGCCAGGAGTAACCCCTGAGCAATGCCAAGGTGTGGGTCCCCAAAAACAAAGATAAGGGGGACCTTCTCAACATTTCCAACTATCCCTAATCAGACAAGTATTTTTGTTTCTAATATTGATTTGAATATTATTTTGACTTCAATTTGTTTGGGCTAGTGTCAAAGGACGCCATCTCCTCTGCAAAATGGCCTGAAATCTTCAAATGTGAGTCTATCTTCTCCCTCAGTGCTTAGACCATCACAGATCCGAGGTCTTTATTAGCTTCCTCACCACTCTTACCTGCCACTGCTTCCCAGAGTAAGCCCAAAGCTCCTAAGGACAAGAATTTTGCATTCTCTAGAATCTCTTCTTGGTCCATGGGATCTAGCACCTGGCAATATGAAAGGGTTGCTGAACTGACCTCAGTGCTGTATTCTGCCAAGAATAGAAATTCTGCACGCATACATTTAAATAAAGCATGTTCAATGGGAAGGGGAAAAGGATCTTTTTATCTGGGAAGATCATTTAGCAAACTGTCTTGAAAGACCTATTTATACTTCTTTTTCTATGCTAATCAGCTGCTGGACGGCTCCCCTCACTTCTTGTTTAGCATTTTCAGTAGTTCACAATAGTAAAGTAGTTTATCTGAAAATTCACTGTTGCATTTTACATAAAGACCTAAAAGTTTATAGCTAAAGCACAGAAGGAAGTTTGCCTATTCTTCATTTTACAAGCAAAAAAAGTTTAAACTTTGTAATTCATTAATTTGCTAATGACTTTATCCTATAAGAAGTAGTCTGATTCTGCTCAGGATTAACTAACAAAAATTCACTTAGGCTTCCTCCCTGCTCTCCATATTCAAAATGAGCCATTCTGCAGACTGAAAAGGAATTGAGCACTTTGGGGATGAAAGGCAATTTAACATGTTAAAGTGTTCTGGGCAGAATCCATACTTTTCTTAGTTTTATGTTTCGAAAATGTAAGAAACTCATCTCCGGTGATCCAATATCTTCAACTCCACTTACAAATCAAAGAGTTATTCTTCTTGCTACAAAACCACTCATTGGAAGTTTCAGCCCAAGGTTATTTTCATTCACAGCACTTATTCTCAAAGCCATTTAAATTTAGATGGTACTTGTGCAACTTTCCAGGAATTGAAGAACTTTTTGGGAGCTAACAAGAAATGAAGAATGAGCTCAGCTCCTTAATGCTGCAGGTGAAGAAACGAAGGCTCAGAAGCCTGTCTGAACTCTCAAAGACAAGGGCTTCTCACACCTTCATCACTTCCCTCATTCTGAGCCACATTGCTTGGAGTTATGCCAGAGCCTCCTAAATCCTGCTTCTTACCTTCTCTCCTGCCTATTACCCTCTGCACAAAATTCTCACCACACAGCAGACAGAGGGAGCAAGTACAAGATGTTGCCGGTAAAGGATGTGACTCCCACCATTAAAAGTACGTAAAGGGGCTGGAGCGATAGCACAGTGGGTAGGGTGTTTGCCTTGCACGTGGCTGACCCGGGTTCGATTCCCAGCATCCCATATGGTCCCCGGAGCCACCAGGAGTAGTTCCTGAGTCCCAGGAGTAACCCCTGTGCAACGCCAGGTGTGACTCAAAAAGAAAAAGAAAAAAAATGTATGTAGGGTTTTTCTGGGTAGCTTATGTGAAGTGGCGAGAGAGGCAGCAGCCTTGATAATGGAGCGGGGTGAGGGTGGGGGGGCTTAAAAAGGACTACTCCAGAATGGAGAGCAAAGTACACATTCCAAACAGAGATGTGGGCAAATGTGTCAAAAGTTAAGAAAGTACTCATCACAGACATAGGTAAGAGAAAGGAAATAGACATCTCAGTGGGAGAGGCAGACAAATGAGCACCTTTTCCTCTGTCAACTTACTTTCGATAAAATGGGCCTCCAAAGTCCACTGCCAGTGAAGTAGCCAAGGGGGTGAGCTTGGAGCTGTTGATGGTTTTCTTCTGGTTCTCTTTTGGGGGAGGGAGGGAACACTTAGCCAGCAGTGCTCAGGGCTTACTACTGGATCTATTCTCAGGGATCACTCCTGGAGGTGCTCAGGGGACCAGATACAGGGTGCCAGGGGTTAAACTCGGGTCCACATGAAGACAAGCACCTTAATTAACCCCTGCACCATCTCTCCAGTTTCTTCTTTTGACATCTTAGCATGGCCTTGTTCCAACACTGAAGCCTCTCTTGTCCCGGCAACCAGCCAGACTCTGAGCCTGGACTGCATCTCAATGTTTTTCCCAGGGTTCTTCAGATGAACCCTTAAAGATCTTCAAGCCTTTTGTCTGCTTTAGATTCTAGACATTATTTTTCTCCCAGTATACATTACCAGGGCCCCCTATATCTCTCCCTGCAGAAGCAGATGGACCCTGTGGAGTCCCTGCTCAGAAAAGCTCATTATTTTTCCAGCTCTTCCTAGTAAAAGCCAAGCTTCATATGATCTACACAGTTCCTATTTTTATTAATTTCTCAACTTCTCTCAGTCACCACACCCAATGCTTAATTCAAAAACTTCACCTTTAGCTTGGGGGCCTGACAGTTCCCTTTGCCAGCAACCTTTTTTCCCAAGCATCACCCCTCTCTCTTTCCCTTCTAACCACCCCCATGCCTCCCCCGCCACACACACACATTTTCTCCACTTGAATGTAAACTCTATGTAAACTCAACTGAAAAGCCCCTTCTGGATTTCCCAGCACATGGCAGGCACTGGTTGTTTTTGTAGAGTAAGTTAAGTGCTTATTATGTGCCAGGTACTATTCTAAGGAGGGCATGGGAACCTATTTACCTAATCTTCCCAATAACATGAGATAAACCTTACGGTAGTTATCATCTTTGCTGTCATCTCTAGTTCACAAAGAAACTGAGACATAGAAGTAACAATTCGCCCAGGGTATTTCAGTTCGTCCATTGTAGAGTCAAGAGTTGAACCTACCATACTACCCAAATGCATAATGTCACTCTTAATTCAAGCTAACGACTGAGCAGTATCAAGAGTGTTTCCCAAAACCACGCTCAAAAATTGATAGACTGAAGTGTGCATCCAAAATGTCGATAATTTCCTGTGACTGCCTAGGCATGAGTTTGAGCTAAGACAGACAAGAGCAAAACATGCAAGCCACAAGTGTGCTGTGGTCAGGCCCTAATTCACACAGGATGGATGTGACTGTGGCTTACAGGCAGATGCACGATAATTCTCTTAGTAGACTGTGATTGCCCCTATTAGCTTTGGTCCATATAGGGAATGCTATGACCCAAAAGCAGCCACAGTGATGAGCCAGCCTCAGAACCAATGGCTGGAAGGGAACTCTGGGGGACCCCCAGGACTGCAGTAGGTCACACATGCTCTCTGCTTAATAGCTGTAAAACATAGGGTGATTCACACCATGGAATGTTGAAGCCAAGATGTCACCTAATCAAGGGAATGTTGATACAGCTTTATCTGCCACATTACATCATTATCCCAGTGTGGAAAGGCCATATAGAAATTAGTGCCTTGGGATTAAAGAGGGTGCACCCTCTGGGAAACACTCTACAAAGGAGAGCAGGAAGTTTTCAATAGGTAAATACTAGCCCAGACTGCACAGCTGACTTGGAAAGACCAGGTGGCAGTGAGGTTCTGAAAACAGTGTGATCAGTTCAATGTGGTTAAGACTTAGACCCAAGGACAAAAGGTTCGCACTTGCCTGGCCCTGAACGTGGCCAACCTGGGTTCCATGCCTGGCAGGAGTGATTCCTGCTCCTCCTCCATTAGCTCTGGTCTGTAAAGTGAAAGCAAAGACCTAAAAGCCATAGTGATGGGCCAGCCTCAGAGTCAGTGGCTGGGAGGGAGAGAGCAGGACAGAGGGCAGAGCCAGGAGAAGGCCTGAGCATCGCCAGGTGTGGCCCTCAAAACAAAAAATAAATACACGATTAACCAGGCACCTATCCCAGGGCGCTTCGGGGGATGCACGCCCATCCCCACCCGCAGGGAACGGCCTCTGGAATATATACTCTTCGATGAGTGCTCTATGTCTCTTGCTTTGGACTCACATATTTCCTTATACAAGCCTAGAAACTGTTCATTGTCCACGGCAAGGACTGTCACCCGCATCCCCCAGGCTTCCCTGGATCTCAGCTTCCACGGTCCCACCTGCCCAGACCCCCCCCCCCCCCACCGCCCTACCCCTCCTTCCCGCAAGGAGGCAGGGGCGGGGAGGAGGGCTGGAAGAGGTGTGTGTGTGGGGGGGGGGGGGGTGTCACAAGCACCTGTGACCTAGTAGGCCCGGCCCCCCACTTCCCCAGGGTCCAGCCCCACCCACCCCCACAGGCTGGGAGGACAGAGAGTGCCCCGGCCCTCCCGACGCCCCGACCTGGACGGGCCCGCGTCTCGCCCCTGCCACCGTCCAATGGCCAAGGGGCAGGGCCAGCTGAGCAAGCCACGGCAGCTCCGCCGGGTCCCCGCCCTGTTCCCGGTTCCCGAACCGGGCCCCGGCGGCCTTTAAATGCCACCCCGGGCCGGCGCGGCGCGGCCCTGCCCTCTCCACCTCTCTTCCCCCGGCAGCACCCGGCGGAGGCAGACAGCCCCAAAACGCGGCGGGCGCGCGGCGGGACCTCCCCGGCCGCGCCGCTTCTCCTCCCCTCTCCTCCCGCCCCTCCTCCTCCTCCCCGGCCAGGCCTGCGGGGTCGGCGCCTGGGCCCCGGCGGACGCGCGCGCGCGTGCCCGCGGCGGTGCGCGCGCCGGAGCCAGCCTCGGACCCGCGCCCCCGCGCGGCGCAGGACCGCCCGGGATCCCCGCCCGCGCGCCGCGTCCCCCGCCCGCCGCCGCCGCCGGGCCGCGCTGGAAGATGGCGGGATCGGTGGCCGAGGGGGATGCTGTGGTGGTGAGTGCGGCGGCGAGTGCACGCCGGACGCCCCCTGCCCGCTGCTGGAAGCCTGCGGCCCGGTCCCGCGCCCCTCCCGGAGCTCGGCCCGACGCGGGAGTGGGGGCGGGGGGGGGGGGAACCTGTTAGCAGGAGCTCGCCGGGGCAGCAGGGGGTGGGGGGCGGGGTGGGCTTCCCTGGGCTGCAGGGCCGCCGGCCTGGGGGAGAGTGCTCGGGGAGTCCCGCAGCCCCCCGCGTGCCCGGCGGCCGCCGGCCAGGTGTGCGCGCGCCGCACGTGTGGGTGTGCGCAGGGGGTGGAGGTGGGGGGGAGTGTGGCCCGGGCGCCCCGCGCGTCCCGGGATTCCCCTTGGAAATGGGACCCGCTCGGGAGAGAAGTTGAGCGCGGCCGCCGCTCCCCGGCCACGGCCGCACGGACGGGCCTGGCGACTGCGGCTGGTCCAGAGGCGAGCGCCGCCCGCGCGAGGAGGAACCCCCGGCCTCGCCGGGGGGGTGGGGGTGGGCTCGACCTTGGTTTGCACGGGGCTCTGAAGGCCTCGGGAATGGGGGGAGAGGCTTAGCTAGCGGCTGGGAAGGGCAGATTTTGTTGCGGGAGAGGGGGTGGGGGGGTGCGGTAATTCGGTGACTTGTCTGTGAGGCAGACGCTGCCACTGTTCTGGGATTGCTGCCGGTTCCTCCAGATTTATGTAGGTTCGTCCCTGCTCTCCCTCACCTCCCCCCTTCAAAGCCGGTGGAAAGCCAATCTGTGTGCTTCTATTTTTAGAAACTAGATGATGGGCATTTAAACAACTCCTTGGGCTCTCCAGTTCAAGCCGACGTGTACTTCCCACGACTGGTAAATGACTTTGTTTCTCTGCCCCTACCCTCTTCCGTCCTAAATGGTTTTTCTGATGGGGCTGGTCCCCCTAATCCCAGGGCTTGATTCCTCCTTCACCAGCTCTAAACTGCTCCTCTCCTCCCATGCAGATAGTTCCGTTTTGTGGGCACATTAAAGGCGGCATGAGACCAGGCAAGAAGGTGTTAGTGATGGGCATCGTAGACCTCAACCCTGAAAGGTAAGTCAGATCTTGTCGCCAGAAGACTGATCCGCAGCCTTGTACAGCTCTGCCCTGCCCACTTCTGTTGTGGTTTACTGCCCCTCCTCTTCCTCTCCCTGCGGCCAGTGTTGCTGGTTGGGAGTGCCAAGAAAGTACCATGTTCCCATGAAAAGAATGTGTATGAACCCCAGCCATCATTTCTCCAGACAGCTATTTATATCAGAGATTTTAAATACAGGCTCGCATCATTTTCTCTTTGACCCTTCGGGAAACCAAAGGATTTTTTTTTGTCCTTAATGGTTTTTAAACTTGGTGCTTGCAGCAAGATCTCACAATATACAGAGGAACCCAACTCTACAAGATGTTCTTCTCTCTCTGATCAGTTCCTGGGACTGTTTTTTTGAGAATTCTGAAATGGATTAAGACCCAGATGTCTGGATAGTTTGTGGGGGACCAGACATTCCGATGAAGTTCTTTTACCACTCTGGGAATATTTTCCCCACAACCTCCTTTTAGTACTAACATAACTGGTTTAGTGGGACCAGAGCAATAGTGTATAGCCTTGCTCATGGCTGACCCGGGTTCAATTCCCAGCACATCCTCCAGGCCTACCAGGATGATCCCTGATCCCTGAGCACAGAACCAGGAGTAAGACCTGATCACTGCCAGGTGAGACCCCAAAAACAAAAAAAATTTTTTTAATAAAATAACTGGTTTGGTTGTACTCCTACTTCTCCATAGCCTCACCTCTTGTGTAGAGTAGGTGCCCAATAAAATGTGGTTGGGGGGAAGGTACTTATACACAGCCAACTCAGGTTTGATCCCTGGCACTGCATATGATTCCCTGAGTCTGGTCAGGAGTGATTCCTGAACACAGAGCCATGAGTAAGCCTGGAGCATAGCCAGGTGTGACCCAGATATTCAAATGTAAAATAAAAATAAAATTTCGACCTGGAGAATATCATGTTAAGTGAAATGAGTCTGAAAGAGACGGATAAACATAGAATGACTCTACTCATTGGTGGAATATAAAGTAACATAATGGGAGACTAACACCCAAAGATAGTAAGAATAAGGGCCAGGAGGATTCCTCAATGACTTGGAAGCCGGCCTCACATGCTGGAGGGAAAGGCAGCTCAGATAGAGAAGGGACCACAAAGCAAAGGATGCTTGGAGGCCTCGCTCGGGATGGGAGATGTGTGCTGAAAGTAGCCTATAGATCAAACATGACGGCCACTTACTACCTGTATTGCAAACCATAACACCCAAAAGGAGAGAGAGAGAGAGAGAGTAAAAGGGAATGTTCCTACCATAGAGGCGGGGGGGTGGGGGGGATGGGGGTGGTGGTGGGAGGGATACTGGGAACATTGGTGGTAGAGAATAGGCACTGGTGGAGAGATGGGTACTCAATCATTGTATGATTGAAACGTATAAGTGTATAAGTCTGTAATTCTGTCTCATGGTGCTTCATTAGAAAATTAAAAAAAAAAATTTTAAATCAGGCAATCCCAGAGAGGGTAGCTGGGGCCGTGGGTCAGTGTTATCTGTTGTTCTAGTCAAAGCCCCGAATAAGAGAGATGGTTTTCTTTGCAGCTTTGCTATCAGCTTGACCTGTGGTGACTCTGAAGATCCTCCCGCTGATGTGGCCATTGAACTCAAAGCTGTATTCACAGACAGGCAGCTTCTCAGAAATTCTTGTATATCTGGGGAGAGGGGTGAAGAACAGTCAGCAATCCCCTATTTTCCATTCATCCCAGACCAGCCGTTCAGAGTAAGTACCTCGAGTGCTTCAGCCCTTGGCGTAGCACCGATGTATTCATCGAGTGTGTGCCAAGTGTGGTCTGAGTAGCCAAAGTTTCTGCATGTCCAAGAAATATGTCCCTTGATGGTGAAAAAAATAATAGACTGGAAGATCTCTGTATTCTCTTACGAATAAGTTCTTGCTACAAGAGCTAATGGCTCTGTTTAGCAGTATATTTGGTAAATAAACCCGGGTTTATATGTCCAGATTGTTCAGAGAACTTTGCTATGTAATATTCAACATAGTGCTAGGCATATAATAGACACCTGCCGCCAAACATCTGATTGATTAATAAAACGTATTAATAAGTGTGTGTGTGGGGGGGAGAAGCTAATTAGTAAATATCTAGAATTTTCCTCTTTTTTTAATCCTCTTAATGGCACTAAACCTTATTTAGTTAAGGCGTTATTTTCTTTAATAGGGTTTCCCCCACCTCTCTGTTTGGCCCTGGAGGTCGGGCCTAGAGGTTTGATGCTTGTGCTTGGTGATGTGGCACTGCGCTTGGCATCATCAACCCTGTGATGGGGTTCTAGGGTCCCTGAGATACACTTCCTAGGCCCCTTTGAACTCTTTCCCAAGTCCTTGGTAATGACATTATGTGTGTGGACACATGTGAGGCAAGACATGTGCTATGCCACTGAATTGTATCCCCAGGGAATGTTTGCAGATGAATTATGACTTCATTTCCTCTCTTCCCTTTGGGAATGAGGTCTGGCCCTGTCTTTGTTTCCCCCTCTGGGTAAAGTAGTCTCAGATAACTTCATTGTCACCATGTGTCACTTCCCTTCAGCCAGAGTGTAAAGATAGATTTGCACCCCACTATCTAGTGAGCAGGAAGCATATCCCAAATGTCCAATTAAGCAGCATCTTCCTCTTTAAGGACAAAGAGATGCAAGTCAGCAATGAATTAGGAGAACCTTTTTTCGGGAATGTCAGACCTAGGAATGAGGCTGTCAACATTATCTTGTTAACATACATCACAATCAAGACAACTCAGTTAAAAGCTCTGTGTTGCAAATACACCTAATAAAACAGAACAACTTTTAACCTGTTGCTCTTCATCTAGAAGTTTACAGGGGCCTCACAAAGCGGTAATTATTTTTCTTCCCATCATATAATCTAGAGGAGAACTAAGAATCCATGATTTCAGATGAATTATAGAATTAAGATATGTTGCCCTTCTAATCAGAGTCTGGGACAGATACCCCCTGCCCTTTATGCCTACTTCTCCCTTGTCTAAGGTGGTATTAGTCCCGGTATTATCCCTACCATCCCCCTTCTCTAAGGTGGTAATAGGCCTGGTAGGTTCCTCTTGGCTGATTTCTTAATGAAGAAGAATCTTAATATATATCTCAGGAGCATGAATAACCAGAGCTTTTGACTCTGCCAAGAGGAATATAATGCTTCCCAGTAACAAAATTGAAGTGAAATTGGCCTTTCTTGGTGCTATAATTTTAGTAATAATATGAATTAAATGTGACTAATATGACATATGGAGTCTCCTTGCATTATGAATACCAATGCTTTTAATAAAACAGCACAGAACCAATGATTAAACTCTTTGGTGATTTACTTAAGGAAAAGGAGAAGAAAGCTTTTACCATATGGAATCAGTATTTCTGTTTGACTTAACAAAGCTTGGTTAATTATACATCCATGGTCCAAGGGTAATTACTGTGTAACCTCTGCTTTATGTTTACTGTGTTTGAGTCTAGACTATTATTACATGCTACTAATGGGTATCAGTTCTGTCTTGTATGAGGCTCCTCTAAAGGTGGGATAGAATTGCAGAGGTAGCCAGTGGAGGCATTAAGTGCCTGATCAATAAATCCATGCTAATAGACACCTCTTTCTCAAGTGTAAGAGAAAGAATGTGAAAGTATTAGCAATTTTTAATCTTTGAAGGGTATTGGATGATGTAAAGCAATGGTTTGGAAAAATGTATTCTCAGTTCCAACAGAGTCATCACTTGGAACTAGAGATGCAGATTCTTAGACTTTATAGTAGACTAGGAATTTTGAGGGTAAAAAGGTAAAGGTAAAGGCCCTCCCGTTGATCGTCAATTTGCTCGAGCGGGCCCAGTAACGTCTCCATTGGAGACTTTGTTGTTACTGTGTCTGGCATATCGAATACTCTCGGTAGCTTGCCGGGCTCTCCGAGAGGGGCGGAGGAATTGAACTCGGGTCAGCCATGTTGGCCGCTTGTAAAGCGAACGCCCTACCGCTGTGCAATTTTGAGGGTGGAACCTAGAAATCTGTATTCTGTATTCTAACATGTATATGATTTCTATGAACTCTGATGTTTCAGAACTATGAAGATGTTGCTTTCTTTCTCTGAAGTATATTTGATAGTTGAATAAAAGAGGTTTGAACTCCATTTACACTTAGTTTTTTTTTTTTTCATTTTCGGTTTCATATTCTTGATTCAGCCAACCTATCCTTGGGGTTGGTGGCATATATATGCGCAAAATATATGTTTACTGAGGACCAATTAGAAATTACTGGCAGATTTTTTTTTTTCATTTATGCTGGGGTTTTAGCCTCCTAAATTCCTAGGTTGTCCAAGAATCAATTCTATTTATTACTGGTTCTTTTTTTCCTCCTGACGAGGTTCGTTGATCTTGTGAAATTGAGAAATACTGTTTTGTTCCTTCCAGGTGGAAATTCTCTGTGAACACCCACGTTTCAGAGTGTTTGTGGATGGACATCAACTTTTTGATTTTTACCATCGCATTCAAACATTGTCTGCAATCAACACCATAAAAATAAATGGGGACCTCCAGATCACTAAGCTTGGCTGATGTTGTTTAAACCACCTGTATTTCAAATAGAGAAAGGTGCCACAGCTATCTATCAGTCTGGGAGAAGATCCAAGCAAGACCTGGAGACTTAGAAAACAAAATCAAAGGGCAAGCCTCACTCTCTTCTTTCTGTGTAGTTTAAACCCAAAGTGACAGATTTCAACCATGGTTTGCCCTTAGGAAGAAAGCAGTTGGAGCAAAAACACCGAGCCATTATTCCCAGAACAAATACACTTATGCTGGATTTTACTGAGACTAACCTGAAATGGATTTGTTATGATTTGTGATTTGAGAGCAAGTTACTCATCTTTTCAAAGCAAGATTATCTTTAGAAACTAAAGTATTAAAGACTTTAAACGGTACACCGAAATCAATTCATTTCTGCACTGAAGATGAATTGTGTAGCACAACCAACATTTTAGTCAGGGTATTTACATAGAATGTAGGTTGTTCAAGGTGTGATTGGTTTTTTTGTGGGTTTTTTTTTTTTTGCACAGCATAATGTTAATTCAGATTTTTAAAGCTTTCTTGTAGTTATTTATTTATACTCAACTTATGTATAAGAAAATGATAAATGTCTCAAGAACAGCAAGTTACAAACTTTTGAATGTACAAATATCCTAAATATAAGGGGGGAAATTGTTACAATCAAGAATCAGGTAATTTCTACCTTAAAAAATTGAATTGTATTCTACTTACCCCTTACCTTAGGATCTCTTGATATAAATTGCTGTAAGAGCTTTTGGGGAAACTGCAACATTTTGATAAAACTGCTTTACAAGTTATTGAAGATTACACAAAATTCTATTTACATCGCCTTTTCTTGACTGTGAATGAACACAGTACTGTCTTCCTTAAGACTAGTTAGCTACTTTTCCCTAGATTTACATAATAACTTTTTAAGTTGTTATTAAACCTAATTGAAAATAGGTGATTGCATAGACAATTTTAAATGACTATTACATAAACTAAAAAGCATAGTATGAAAATAATTCTGGAACGCAATATAAAGCAGAAGCAAGTGGCCCCAAATAACTTACTTGGAAATAATTTATATCAACTGAAGCTGTTAGCTCATTGTATAACTTTTATTATGTGACCCTCACCAATATCCCTATGTTAATGCCTTTTGAGCTTTAGAGTAGATGATGCTTCCTACTGAGTTGGCATTGCTGAGATATTAGGATAGACAGGATTCAGATTAGAAAATGATCCAGTTAGTTTATCTGGAAGGTGAAATCCCAGGACTCTAGGTCCTTGAGTCTAGCCAGCCAATGGTGTGAAGGCTTCCACCTGGGCTTGTGGGACTTTCCCAGCACTACCTCCAGGAGCAGCCCACGGTGTCACTCAAGGCGAGGAAGGTTTGTGTTCTGAGAACTGGACTTCGCAAACTGCATTGGCCCTGGAGAGACCCTAGGCACTGCTTTGGTCAGGTAGTGGGGGGACGGGTTGCTGGGGCGGGGGTATATTTATATATTATTTAGGTTCTGTTTGTACAGCATCTTGCGTCTTGTTATGACACGTCCTTGTCTTGCTTTGCATTTGAGTTCTGTTTTTACACAACATGCAGAGGCACTGAAGTGGCCATGTCCTCCCTACGTGCTGGGAATGTAGACAGTGTTTCGGTACCAAAGTCTTAAGAAAAAGCAAAATAAAGTTGGGAATTTTTTTTATGGGTAATATATTTGGATTCTTCTCAACTTTGAAACTGTGTAGTACAGTTCCATTGTGTTATATACGAAGATACGTTATCAAACAAGACTGGCTGAGCACTAAAATGCTTTACCTACCAGCTGATGTAATGGGCTGTATTCAGCCACGAGCCTGGTTCTTGTCCCAGGTATTTTCAAACCTGTGATTAACAACTTGTGATTTGTAAAGCTGTTCTATGTGAGAAAGAGTAGAGAATCTAAGAGGACGCCTTGAAAATAATAGGGGTTTGATTCTTCTTTAGGTAGCAGATCACAACTGAAGGTGTCCTTTCGGTAGCCCTCTGTTCCCACTCCTGCATAATTCAGCAGAAACTAGAGAGGTGGAGAGTGTACTAATTGGAATTGACACTCTCTCTCTCTCCTGATCAGCTAACTGGTTAGCAGCCAAGCTCTTAGGCGGCTTAGTGTAAAGATACAGTTAACCCTTCCTTTCTCTCTGAGGTCAGTGGAACCCTCTTGGTTAAGTCTATTGGAATTTGTCTGAATGATGCGAGGGTCTGATTCCATATAGCTAAACCCAGCTGTACTAATCATCAGCTGTAAACAGAAAACTGTGTTCACATCCTTTCATTGGCATGTGAGGTCCTGAAGTGGGAATTCAGAATGGGAAGTGCAATTTAAAGCTTCACAGGAAAGCATTTAGGTATGTAAGGAGTTATTTCTGACCAGAGCCCTAATTTTATAATATGACCAAAACCAAGGAATATAAATAACAATCAGGCTCTGGGGGAAATAAAAGGAAGGCTTTTGACAATCTGTTTCTGCAGCAAAATTGGAGTGACTGTACCTACTTGAAAGTTAACAAAAGTGACTTCTACTTTCTGGGCTAAACCAGAATTGTCTTAAAAAAATTTTTTTTAATTAAAATACCATTTCAAATCTTAACAACCTCAGCAGAAATCCCTGACCATGAGTTGTTAAAATGGCAAATCCTTTTGTTTGTATTAAAAGGAAAATATTCAAAAGATATACCATAGATGCAGCTGGTACTACGTGCTTGTCTTGCTTCCTTATCACTTTATTCATTTCACCTTGATTTTTTTCCTTAAAAACAACAAAAATAGATGCTCCTGTAAAAGACAAAAAACTGCCTTTCAAAATATTTGTTTCATGGGTAACTCAAATGGGTGTGTACAAGGTGCATAAACCATACCAAACCAAAAGAGAAGAAATAGCCGCTGGACTTAACAGGAAACCCTGTTGCCTTGAGAGAAACCTGGCATTTTCTGACATTAATGGAGAAATAATGTTCCTGTGATGACATATTTTCCAAGAAACACTTTCTTATTTACTGCGTGGTGTAAAATGTTACTAAATGTGTTCTCACATTATTATGTCACTGCTGAAAGTTATTTGCACTATAATAAAGGCATTTTCTACAAAAACGGTTTCTAGTTTCTATTAAGCTGAACTTAGCATCAGGTATGATTTGCTTATTGTCAACCATGTGCTATACCCATGTTCCTCTCACTCATTCTTAAGACCACTTCTTCATGTTTCCCACATTAACTGATAAAGGGAAGGAAAAGTCCTCAGACCTTATGATTTAGGCAATGGGTTGTCTCCCAGCCTTAGGCAATGGGTTGGCAGGGGCTGGGCGGGTTGGGGATGGGGGGAGTAGAGGCTCCGCAACAGGATTGAGGATCTATTTCAGGTGATACTTGGTCTGACTGCACAGACCTGACAGTGCCTGGGCTCAGAGATTTTACGCTCAACTTGCAGTATTGAGAACCACAGGGCCATGCCTCGGTGCTGGGTGGTGCTGGTGAAGGAGGTAGTAGATGGTGTCAAGGATCAAACTCAGGGCCTCACACATGTAAGGGATGATCCCCAGCCCCCTGAGCTGTCTCCTATGATGTAGAAGGAGCGCTCTCTCCCCCCCCCACCCCCACTCTAATTTTTTGGTGGGGAGCTACATCTGGCTCTGCTAGGGGCTTACTCTGACTTTGCACTCAGGGATCACTCTTGGTAGTGGGGAGCCAGGGGATCAAGCCCAGGTCGACTACATGCACAGCAAGCACCTTACCCATGTCCTATCTCTCCAGCCCCATAGTGGAGAGTATTTTTCAATGTAAGTTGCATGCATCACTCTGTGGTGTGCAGTTCTGAGTTTTTCACTTACGTAGATTCAAGTAACTACCAACTCAATTAGGATACAGAATCATTCTTTTGCCTCCTTAAAATTTAGTTAAACTGTCTCCCAGCTTTGGGCAACCACTGTTCATTCTCCCTTCCTGTAGTTTTGCCTTTCCCTGAATGTCTCAGTTTTTGTGGTTTTTGTGTTTGGGGGCCACACCTAGAGTGCTCAGGGATCTCTCTGGCAGTACTCAAAGGATTAAGTGTGGTGCCAGGGATTTATCTGGGTTTGGCCACATGCAAGGGAAGAGCCTTAACCCCTGTATTAACAGTATGGCTCCTTCCTGGACATCATAAAATGGATCTTACCGTATATAATCTTTCGAGAGTGATGTATTTCATTTGCATAATGCATTTGAGACGTATCAAAAGGTTTTCCTTTTGTTGATATGTAGTGGGATGGAGCAATAGCACAGTGCGTAGGGCGTTTGCCTTGCATGAGACCAACCCGAGTTCGATTCATCTGTCCCTCTTGGAGAGTCGGGCAAGCAGAAGCCTGGAAATCTCCCCATGGTGTAGTAGATATGCCAGAAACAGTAACAACAAGTCTTACAATAGAGACGTTACTGGTGCCTGCTCCAGCAAATCGATGAACAACGGGAGGACAGTGCTACAATGTAGAGATATGTAGTACATTGTATTGATAAGAGTTTCTTCTTTCAACTGTTAAGAATGCTATGGCTTCTTATCTTAGCACAGTGCATACCAAAACAAGATTATGTTTCTCTTGCCTTCTCTTTACTGCGGTTTGAGTGACTAGGGAGGAAACTTGATCCGTTGACTAGTCTGTCTACAAATTAATCCATGGCTTATAGAAGTTGACCTGCTGTAAGTAAGGGCAGTGAGTAAAAAGACATTTTCTCACATCGGGATCTAGAGTCCTGTTAAGACTTTAATTGGTTTGGTTTACCGGACCACCACCCCCCCTTTTTTTTTCTCTTTGTGGATGTGAAGCTTAAGAGCTGGTCTCTCTTAAAACTGCAATATAGGGCCCAGAATGATAGTACAGTGGGTAGGGCTTGCCTTGCATGTGGCTGTCCTGGGTTTGATCCCTAGCTTCCTACATGGTCCCCGGAGCACCTCCAGGACTAATTCCTGAGTGCAGAGCCAAGAGTAACCCCTGAGCATTGTTGCCAGGAGCCATCCAAAAAGCACCTCTCCAAAAAAAAAAAAAAGAGAGGGAGAGAGAGAGAGAGAGAGAGAGAGAGAGAGAAAAGGGGGAAAAAACCCTTTTGCATACAAGTAGAGTGAAGACTGTTTAAGTGGGGGAATTTAGACGAGCCCTGGGGCAAATACAGGAGAGCGCCCCCTATCTCCCCAGGTTAGCTAGGACAGTACCCTGGTGGGACATGACAACATACTTGTTTCATGAGGGTATTTTGGATTAACTGAGCTAGATTCATTACTGTTCCAATATGAGCAATAAACACCCTTTGCAGGCACACTGAAATAGTAGCGTCATATAATTGGGAGGCATTTGATCTTTGCTTTAGAAAAAGGTTCTTTTGATTTTTGGTTTTTGAAGTTGTATTTTGTTTTGGTTTGGTTTGTCACAGGAGGAGGCACTGGGTAATCTTCTGTATGAAAAGGGGCTGGTTGTAGATCAAATAAGTTTGGGAACCTCTGGAAATACCATAAATACTTAGAACTTCATTGCATTTAGCTAATATTCACTGACCTGTGTCCATTGTTGTTGACACTGAGACATGTGGATGAGTAGAACAAAGGCCTCTGGTTGTTCTGAGGGTTTTGTTCGTTTGTAGGGAGTGAGGGAGGGAGCACACCACACAGTGCTCTGGGGACCATGTGGTGCTGGGGATGAATCCTGAGTTCTAGCATACAAAGCATATGCTCCAACTTTTTGAACTATCTCCTAGGCCTTCTTGGTGGTTTCTCACTTTAGTGTGATTGACAATCACCCCAAAGTCTGCTTGCAGAGTCTTAGTCCTGGGAGATTCTTTTTCATAGATCTACAGCCAGTATATTTGTAGAGGTGGGGGAGGGGCACAGCTGGCTGGCTCTGGGCTCAGGGAGCACTCCTGGAGGGCCTCAGGGTGTGGTGCCAGAGCTGCAATGCCAGGGATAGAACGCAGGTCAGCTGCGTTCAAGGCAAGTCCCTTACCAATGTGCTGTCTCTCTGACCCCCAAGAGTTTGTATTTTTAAGAAATATTCTGAATGGGGACCAGAGAGATAGTACAGTGGGTAGGGCGTTTGCCTTGCACCCGGCCAACCTGAGTTCGATCCCCAGCATCCCATATGGTTCCCCAAGCACCGCCAGGAGTAATTCCTAAGTGCAGAGCCAGGAGTAACCCCTAAGCACCGCCGGGTGGGACCCAAAAAGCAAAAAAAAAAAAAAGAAAAAGAAAAAGAAAATAGAAGGAAAAAAAACTATTCTGAGTGAAGGACTGGAGTGATAGTACATGGGGTAGGGCACTTGCCTTTCCAGCAGCCAACTCGATTCAGTCCCTAGCACCGATTATGGGACTGCTGGAAGTGATCCCTGAGTGCAGAGCCAAGTAAGCACTGCTGTTTCTGGCCCAAATACAAAAACAGCAATAAAAAGACTTGTGTATTTGCTCAGTTTCAGACTTCCTTAGCACCCTGACACCTGTTTCAAATAGTGAATGTTCTGAAAAAGATTGACATTCTTAGCAGAAGCCTGTCTTCCTTCTTGCACTGTGTGCCTTCTTATAATCATTCCATCATTACAGACTCACCAGGGTGGGGCCTGCTTGCTCCGAGAGGCAAATACACACTGTGGCTTATGATATGCACAGAGGGCAGAGGG